TAAATCATTGTGAATAGCCACTGGAAGTGAGGACTCTCCCACAGGAAAAGCCTCTCCTAACATAATCCTCATGACAGGTACTCTTGAGATAACATTAATTCTACTGTATCTTAAGCAATATAACTGAAAAAGTGTCATCACAATATTAAAAGAGCCACATACTAGCAAAAAAAAAAAAAAAGCTTAGAACCTTATTAATATGCCACTATGATTGATAAGCAATCTTTTCCTGGCCTTTAGTAAGAAAGAAATAAGTCACTTCTCCTTTCAACTTCTTTGTATAGACATTAGCACAGCAAAGCGTTCCCTACCAGCTAATGTCCTTAGCAATTTTGGCTTTCCACAAAGTGTCTTCCGCACAGTGAGTGTCCAGGATATATCTGATTCTTGAATTGGTGAAAGAATGAATGCATTTCTCAACTTTGACATGCTGGGCTTATGGTTGGCCTTCTATATAAACTTCTTGAATGGTTTTGACACTATCTTTAATACTTCTGTCAGAAGCAGTTTCTTCTCATGTCTTCTACTGACCTTGAAAGTTGCCAAATAAACAGTACTTGGATACACATTGCTCCAAGCATGACCCTGGTTAGATTACTGTGTTGTACTCTGGTCATTTTATTCAAACCTTCCTGCTCTGTAATGATCTGTGTAGAATAAGATAGAGCATAAAATATAATTCCTTCCCCCATAGTTAACAGCTGTAACATCTTTAGCAATTTTAATCCAGTCGTCACAGAGGGCCTGATTGATGTGTTGTAAACAGAAACTTAGAAATCATGACTCACCAGCACAATTAGGCTATACATATTCTGTTGTAAGTTAACCTGTTCAGTACTATAATCACTCATTAGGTGTGTCTCCTTGAGCATAAACAATAATGAAAGCTGCCTGTATAACAGTTTCTTAAATTTTACTATTTATATAACTAAACACTGTATACAATCATCTTAATCTTGCTATCTCTGTAAACTTTTTTTAAAAAAGTATTTTTCAATCTAGAAGTATAAAGTTTCTTAAAGTACACTCTGATAATAACTTCTACAAGAATGAATGGCATAACTTGGCATCTTGTACGTAATGAATGGACTTTGCAAGTCTGAAGCAAGTATTGTCAAATAGAATATTCATTCCAGTCTCTTACCCACTCCCTTCAAAGAAAAAAAGCAAAACTAAACTGAACTAAATCTTGTGGTCGTCTTTTTCTCATAAAAGCATAGGGAGATCATAGAGTATGACCCTCTTTTCCTTTCCTGCTCTCCAATTCCAGCTCTCCTGGGTACTGTTCATCCACCACCACCGCCATGTGGCCTACAGATCCACATCAAGTTGCTCCATTTAGAAAGCCAGTTCAGGAATGTTGGGAAAATATAGAAAAAATGGTCAGGGCCCCTCAGATGTTCAGAATCTTGCCCAGCATCTGATGTAAATATGCACATGTGCACAGGTGTTCCTTGCTATTGTCTAATGTGACTGTGCGTGTGCACCTGGGTGTTTTGGATTATGGACTTGAGTATAAAGGACTAATGGCGCAGATGCACGAAGCTTCTGAAGACCCTCCGGGAAGCCACTAGGTCAGCTGCTACTAGCTCTGAATAAAACCTATTATTTCTTCACCCAGGACTCCCAGGACCTTTTCCTATTACCTAGCTTGTAGACCTGTGTGTGGAGGGTCTGTGACCCAGTCTGGACAACAGGCTCGAGAGGTCTGTGAACCCTAGCCCTAGCCCGACAAGGCAAATGGCAGAGAGGTGTGTCAATTAAAATATCAAAATCTCTTTCAAGGGTAAGTGAAAAATAAGCATAAGAATTACTTGGGATTTTATTATTTTATTCAGTTCTTCAGTGAGAACTCTGAAGATCAGCTTAATCTAAAAAAGGAAGAAAAGCAAGAAAATTGCCTCTGGACTTTTCTGCAGAGGAGCAAAGCAACAGTGAAAGGCTGGGCCTCTTTTGTAGCCTTGCTGTTCAGGAGACCACATACTCTCTTGTGAGCTCCCTCATTTGTCCTAACTGTTCAGGCAGGCCGCATGGTAAAGCTGGACCAGGGCAAATCACCCAAACCAGGAAACTGCTTGGGGTGGAAATGTTGAAAAAACATCAGCAAAGGGGAGTGAGATGAGGGAGGGGCGGAGAACCAGGGTCACACATCAGGCACATCACGTAGGACAATCATGAATAGGACAAAGTTTCTCAGTTTTGTACTATTAACATTTTGGACAGAATAATTTCTTATTTGGGGGGGCTATCCTGAGCATTGAAGGTTTAGCAGCATCGCTGGTTTCTATGAACTAGATGCTAGTTGCAACCCCCGCCTATGCCCTCCCCCCACCACCACCCTGGAGTTGTGACAATTAAAACTATCTCCAGATGTTGCCAAATGTCTCCGCTTGGCAGGGTGGGGGGTGTGGTGTGCAAAATTGCCCTGGTTAAGAACCTCTTAAGTAGGATGAAAGTTCACCAGTCAAAGGTCATGGGATCATGGATCCTTGAGAGATACCCAGAGCCCAAGAAGGAGTCTGTGTGTGGAAGACTAATTTAGGCAAGAATTCTTCTCAAGGAAAGCGGTGGCTTCCTCCCTGGACCTCCTCACTCTCTCTTCTTTTCTTCCCTTTTCCCTTCTCCTCCTCCTCCTCCTTTTCCTCCTCCTTCTTCTGCTTTCTCTCTCTCCCTCTCCCTCTCCCCCTCCATTACCACCCTCTCTCTCACATTGAGGATGCAACTTTGGCCTGCGGAGAGCAGCCCTCTAAGACAGTCTTTGCAATCTCTGCTTGAGCAATTTTCTATACCGTCAAAAGGACACCAGCCAAAATTCTCTGACCTTCTGGATAGGAAGTTGCAGAGAAGCATGGAAGATCCCCTTCCTCCTGAACTGAGTAAATGTGCATTCAACAATGTGGAGAGGAACATTTAAGAAGAGCTCAGCTTAACAGTGGTGTATCTGAAGCCTCCTCTACTTCCAGAATATAATTAGCTTGTCCTGAATGTCCATTTTGAGAATTTGTTAATCACAAAAACATCTTTCTTTTGTACTACACTATTGTGAGATGATGATCCTCAAATCTTTACTTTAGGAAAGTGAGTTTGAGCACCAAAAACCTTGGTGGTGGTTACAAACCTTAGCATGCATAAGTACTGTCTTACAGTGCTTGTTAAAAATGCAGTTTCCTGGTACTGCTGGTGATTCGGATTCAGTAAGTCTGGGTAAACCCAGGAATTTGCATTTTTAACCAGCTACCCATGTGATTTTGATCCTCAGATAATCCCTTTTGAAATGCTAGTTTATAAAGTAGATGAAATGTAAGGATGTGCTGAGACTAGTTAGAAATGTATGATTTGCCAGAGAGGCCAGAATGCAATTTGCTTCAATGAATGCAAGATTTAAAAATTGGTTCATGGGGAAGCTCTGAAAATAATAGGACAGGGTCCCAGGGCTATAGAAATGTCCCTGGATTTGGTCTAAGAGAAGTCAATTGGCAGGTACATGAGCCCTTGTTTGATGCAACTGTGGGTGGAGGTATGAAAGATTAGTGAAGGGGAGGGATTCCTCACGTGTATAAATCACCATGTGAGGAAAGTGGGTAATTGCTTGGCGTTTAGGTAATTATGCATGCAAATTAGAAGAGCATATATATGAGCCAAACAAAACAAAGATAATTATTAGCACATTCTAGAGCCACCATGCCAGTCACACCACCATGTTCAGCTGCCCAGATGTAAGTACCAGCAATGACACGGTTTAATGCTCTGATGGTCATTTATTTAAGCAAGAATGTTTTACTTGGAGGGTATTTTGTATATTGAATGAGGAAAAATTATGGCATATTCTTTTCCAGTTGACTTTATATTCTCCCTTCACTGAAAACCATAAGACATGCAATAAATATAAGCCTAAGTAAGTTTAAAAAATTAATTCTTATTCTCAGTGTTAATAGTGAGTATTGTGCAATTCTAGAATTCTTCCTTCTATCTTTCACTTCTTTCAGTTCTTCAAGGCATGTGAGTGATAAGCAAATGTTAAAGGGAACAAAGAGAAATGAAGCTCTTCCTCCTTTTTTCTAACACCTTATGTAGGACAGTAATATTTTCGTTAAGAATGTTTTATATTTGTGTTCTATTGGTCTATTGTCTGAACAGCTGATGGACTTCTGTTTGCTCTCAGATTCATATTTCAAAAGATTTCCAGAAAAGAGCCTCTATTTTTAGACCTCCTAATCTCTCCTATTTCTCTTGAGCCTCAATTCAATAACTCTTAGGTGGCCCCAATGAAAAGCCCTTCACTTAGGATCTTTGTAGTTTGTGAAGGTAAGTGGAAATGCTCTCAATGGCTCAGAAACTTTAAAAATCTGTAAGTGGTATAAAAATATTGAGCCTGGAGCAGAGTGTATGAGTTTAAAAAATAATTAAGATAGTACCGTCCCTGCTTCACAGAATTTATTGTTTAGCTGGGGGGAGAGAGGTATGTAAACAAAAAGTGTCATAAAGTATTCTAGGTGCTATGATAAAGGTCTGTATGGGTAGGTGAGGCTTGAGGGAGGGTGTCCTCAGGCAGGGGTGTATCATAAGGGGAAGGGTTAGGAAAGGCTTTATACACAAAGTGAGTCTCGGAGCTGAGTCTTTGGTATGAAACTGTCTTTAAAAGGCTTAAAATCAAGGCATTTACAACTTCACGAGAGAGCCCAAATTTAAAATACATAGAAAAAAATCATTGAATAATTTGATATTAAGTTGTGTAGGCCTGATTAATAGGTGTAAAAAGCTTTTGGAAAAGTAGGGCAAGTAGGTTGGAGTAGCTACAAAGGGCTTTATAAAGGAGGTAAAGTCGAGCCAAGCCTTAGGATGGGCAAGATGTAGATAAACACAGTGGAGACTGAGGAGCATGAGGCAGGGAAAGAGTTTGAGCAAAGACAGGGCCCCTGAAGGAGAAAACCAACTGATTAGAGCAGAGAGTGCTTGCCACGGACTGGGGTAGGCACAGAGGGATGTAACAGGGTCACATCATGATCGGGCTTAAAAATCAGGAAGTTTGGGGATTTGATGAAGAAGGTGGTGGTGAGACCTCACAGATTCCTGATCAGGGAAGTCATTTGCTGAAAGCAATATTTCAGGAAAACAAGCCTAGTTTCCATTTCAAACAACAGACTGAAAAGAGTTTAGGCTGTAGGATGGGAGACCAGTGTAGAGGCTGCTGCCATCCTCCAGCAGGGAGGCGTTGAGGGCCTGCGAAGGGACAGCAGCACAGTGTTGGGGGCAAAGGGACTGCCAGTTGGTGCTTCTGATGGTGAACTATCACATTTGTATTTCTCTTCACACTTTTAATAATGATTCAGCATGATGTATGTCCACTATATGGTGGGAGTGGCAAGCAACTTTAAGCATCAGAAGAGAAGCTGAGTAGCTTTTCCAAGGACACAGCATTAGCAATGAGTAGAGCATACCCCAGAACCCTGGTTCTCTGACCCCAAATCACTCTAACACAGGGTTCCTCAGCCTCAGCACTGTCGACATTCAGGACCAGATAATTAGCAATGAGTAGAGCATACCCCAGAACCCTGGTTCTCTGACCCCAAATCACTCTAACACAGGATTCCTCAGCCTCAGCACTGTCGACATTCAGGACCAGATAATTCTTTATTGAGGGGGCCTTACCACACATTGTAGGATTTTTAACAGCATGTCTGCCTCTACCCACTAGATGCCAGTAGCATGCCACCCTCACACATGTAACAGTGAAAAATGTCTCCAGACATTGCCAAATGACCCTGGGGTTGGGGGCAAAATCACCGTCAGTTGAGAACAACTGCTGTAGTATATCACACAGTTTAATTTTTGTAAGAATAACATCTCCTCCTATGCTCTGTCTAGACGGCTGTTTCTCATGACTTTCTTGTGAAGCTCAGGCCAGAGCTGCTCAGACACTGACTCTTTTCAGGATGAGAAGAATCCAAGCAACAGGGTCACACTGCTTTGGTCACTAATTCATTTTGAAAATGATGGCTAAAATTGATCAGCAGTGAGGAAGCAATCTTTCAAGGTACTTCACCATCACACACAGTTCCATCTGGAACTTTGGGATGATTGGTTTGACACTCTTGCCCAGAAATTTTCTTTCTACCACCTGAGATCCCATCCCAATCCCAGTGATCTTGCTCTTGGGGAATGTCCCTCTTGTCCACTGACTTCATTACTGTCCCTTCCAAGTCAGTCCCATCCAACTCAGCTCCATCCAACTAAGCCTACTTCTTGAACATGTTTATTTTATGACCTCTGAAACCTTTATTAATTTTACCAAAATTTTCTGTCCATTTTCAGATCTTTTGAGTGTTCTTTCCCCTTTTAACCTAAAACTAATTTTGTCATGACTTGAATTTCCTTCTTGACCACAGGTGGTGGCAATTCTTGTGTTCCCCTCTTCCCATTGGCCCTGAGGTCTCAGGACCCTCAGGTACTGGCATTTTCTTTGGCCTCCACGTCTATTTCGAGCCCACTTTTCTAGCCATCTTTCTTTAGTATCATCTTTTCAAAAAGTCATCTCAACACTCCCATTGGCATCCCATCCTGTCATCTATAATCCAGGACACTTACTTACAGAAAAGGGGCTGGGTTCAGACCTCCTCAGGAGGAAAAGTTTCTCTCTGAGTTTTAATTTGCAATAATAATATACAGAAAATAAATACAGAAAATACAAAGAGGTCAGGTAGGGCAATGAGGGGAGGATGAATTGAAAGGAAAATAGGTTTTCTTTAATCAGCAAAAATATTCAGTCCTTCCTTCAATTAAGTGTACAAAAATAACTGCCTACCTCTAAAAATCTAAAACAGATCGACTAACATCAGAATATCTTTCCTGACCTGGACCACTAGATACATCTCAAATGTATATTTACTTCTGGATAATAGCCTGTTACGCTTCCCCAACATCTTTTCAGAATCCCAGCCATCTATTCCCTCAGATCTCTGAAATCTGTACTTGCTCCTCCTAAAAACAGCCTTTCTTTCCTCCAGGTCAATCCAAAAGAAATCTTGCTCCTTATGGTTATTATGTAGTATCAGGAAGTGCTCTCCACACACAGGTGGAGATGTTTATCTGTTCCAGCATCCACAGTCATGTAAACGGGCTATAAATCAGAACAGAGTGGTCATGTCTTGCATGTGCTTACAGCTCCTTTGGCTTAATACTGTCCTGTTTCACATTTTGAGAAAACTGAATTAATAATGGCATTATGCTTAATGCACTGAGTTTATGTTTGGACTGCTCCCTAGACAACTGGGGTGAGGTTGGGGCAGTTTACAATTCTATCAACATGGACAAAAATAGTGAAATATGATTTAAAAGTTATTTTTATTGAGGTGAAGTTAACATAACATAAAATTTACCATTTTAAAGTGAACGATTCAGTGGCATTTAGTACATTCACAGTGTTGTGCAACCACCACCTCCATCTAGTTCCAAAACATTTTCAGCACCAAAAGGAAACCCTATGCCCATTGAAATATTTTAAATCAACCTGGTAAATTATATATGATTTACACAGTATTTGCTGTAGGTGTTGGGTTTCTAGTTTCTTTTCTCATCCTACTGACCCCTTATAACCCACTTTATGTTAAAGACAGTTTTAGTGAAGTGGGAGTACAAGAAGGACAGCAAGTTACACTCTGGAAAATTGCTGGATAACAGAATTCTATGTAGAACACACTCTTCAAAAAGAGAGGTGTAGGAGATGGGGGCAAATAACTGCATAAAATGATCAAGGATGGAATTTGGAGGAAACCAAACTGAAAAGAGAAGCTAGAATAGAGAGGTAAAGAACAGCCCTAGAACAGTGCCTGGCACGTGCAGGTGCAAAATAAATATTTGTTGAATTATTGAATGAATAAAAATAATCCTAAGTGAATTAATGAAAATAACCCAGAGTGAATGAATGGATGGCTGCATTGGAAGTGGATCAGGATGAAGGAGCAGTGTTTCAAGGGGGCAATTTAATATAGGATGAGGGGAAGCACATTGGTTGCAGTTAGACCAGCCTTAAAAACAAATAGGGAAGAGATAGAATCTATCATTTCATATTCAAATATTTACAGTGTGGGGAGGGAGATTAAAGTTTCCACCACCTTTGCTATTTATCATGTTAAATACTTGAGCTTATGAGAATTCAACTTTGAGGGAAAAAATACTTACTGAATTCCCAAATTTAAGGTTTTAACAAAAAGGCCGGAAGTAGAAGAGCATCTGTTATTATAGAAATTGTTGTTTACTAGCTTGGATTGCACCTACTGTGGTTGTAAATTTATGTGACCATTTCTTAGTCAGTCTTGAGGATACTATTTCTTGAGGATACTATTCCTAGTTTGTATTTCTTTATATGTTAAGCATATTTTCTCCCCTATGACTATTAGTTGAAGTATGCTATTAATTTAAAAGTTTGGCTACCTAGTCCGTCCCTTGACCAGAAGAACTTCTAGTATGATACTTACCATCATGTGACTATTGGTATTATAACAGTTAATTAAAGCACTGGCATATTTTGATCTACACAGTAATTAGTTTAATAGGAGTTAGCAAGACGGGGAAGTTATTCTATTCCAAGACAGTAAACATTTCTGCTCAATTAATACTTAAGTTAGACATTCTAGCCTCAGAGCAACAAGCATATATGGCATATTTTTACCTCCAGCAGGAATATTCTATACCTGCAGGAAGCCCTTCTAGTGTAGACAATTCTTGCTGATCCAGGGGCCCAGCTACAGGACTTAGCATGCTTCTCCAGGCACAGCAACAACTTTCTGTGTTCTTTCAACTGCTCATATTTAGAAGTTTACATATCAGGAAGTCCGAGAAGGAGCTGTGGGGCCGGGCTCCGGGACCCTCCGCGGCCTGCCATGGGCCCGCCGCCGCCGGAAACGCAAGCCCGAAACCCCGAAGAGGCGCAACGCGAGCCCGACCCCCGGCCCCTCACGGCGGGGTCCCTCCTTAGGCACTTCCTCCCATCCATATGGTCAGCGGAGACATAAATGGTTAAAGGAGATCCGAACGCTTCAGAAGAGCACAAACCTCTTGATAAGGAGGCTACCCTTCGGCCGCCTGGCAAGAGAAATATGTTCTAAATTCACTCGTGGTGTGGACTTCAGTTGGCAAGCCCAGGCCCTGTTGGCCATACAAGAGGCAGCAGAAGCATTTCTAGTTCATCTCTTTGAGGATGACTATCTCCTCTCCTTACATGCTGGCCGAGTTACTCTTTTCCCGAAGGATGTGCAACTGGCCAGGAGGATCCGAGGCATTGAGGAAGGACTTGGCTGAGCTCCCGCACCCAGTGTCTGTCTTTCCTGCTCACCCAGAAAGGATGATGCCAGTGACTCTCTCCGCAGCCATGACTAGATCCAGTGGAGTCTGAGGTGCTGCCTGAACTTTGCTGTCCCTGCGCAGCATGTGCATGTTGCTTTTGAAATTTTTCTTTTTTTGAAGAAAGAGAAAATTACGTGGCTTTCCTCTATGGCAGAGGTAATAACAAGAGATAATCAACACAGTTCCAAAGGCTTGAAGATAATTTTTAGATAAAGAGACCATAGGTTGACTTCAGTTTGTGAATTACTTATATGACTGTTTAAGGATTTTGAAGACGTCAGATTTGTTGTGTTATAGGAGAAAAGGATATTTACTTATTATTTTAGATCTTTCTGCACTATTTACATTTTTTACCATGTGTATATTTGTACTTCTAAATATAAGTGGAAAACTAAGAGAAGACCACTTCAATCAGTTGTATGGAAGGGCCCAGCACGTCTAGCATACAAATCTCTGCCCTTCTTATCAAGTTACTGAGAGTATGTGCTTGTCAACGAATGTGTAGCTTCTCAAAAACTTAATTAGGGTCGAAATAGAAAATATTTAAGGTTTGATGTTCTGGTTTCTTCTAGTAAATTTCTATCAAAATC